CCAAGTGGTCTTATTTTTATAAAAATTCCTAATTCCTAATTTCTTTTATCATTTGACATAGGAGCGATGAAGGAGCTTGCCTCATCTTTGTTCATGAAGTATCCAAGCAAATGTCATGTGTAAATACTAATCAAGGATGTTTCTGAGCCTCATATGTGTGCTTCCCAGCTTAAATGCGTGATATATACTCTCCCAGAGGTAAGTCATTAAATACTTCACTTATATTCTATTTCTGAGGTATCGAATATTCATCTTCAATATTTATATCTTATGTGTTACTGATATACATGAAAGTGAATATACTTTAAATGTATTATTTCATGATACCAGAAATAGTATGTGTAGATTTTTATCGATTATACTTGAGGCTTTACAAATGACACAGCTGATTTATCAAACAACTGAACGTACAGGTCCAATTGAGAGTTGCCTCTTTCAAAGCATTTATATTAAAAGGCTGAACACACATAAATGCTATCCTAATCCCATCTGTAGAATTAGTCCAAGAAAATGCAATGTTGTGATTGTTGACAAATATTCATATTTTAAAAGTGTAGTTTACTTGGAAGAACAAGCAAAAATCAACCAGATACAGCTTATAAATGTGTCAGAAGAATTTGGGAACTATTAATTTTTAAATTATGAAATGGAGAAAGAACCATAAGTTATACAAAAGTGATACCTTTTTCTTTGAAAGACAACTTTCATGCTAAGATGTAATTTCTGGTGGCCCCCTGTGTCAGCATTATTAATTATTGTGCCGTGGTTAATTCCAACAGATGCAATCATGAGGGCTGAGACCCCAGCTTACCTTTGCCAGGTCCACCAAGGTATTTGCTTGGTCATTCAGTTTCCTCTGCTCCATTTTTACACTTCTTAATCTAAAAGACAGAATCTGAAGTCAGAAATGTTTCTTTCTTTCTATGGCTATCATATGCCTTCCAAAAAGCATGCACAAAATTGACAAGGGCAATAACTGCATGGATAATGCCTTAAATATTTGGGGTAAAGTCCAAACTGGTTATGTATCTGCTACAATGAGAAGCATGCTTCCCCAACACCGCAAAAAGGAAAGGAGAGAGTAAGGGATGAGGTGTCCATAGGACAACTGTTCACCAGGTAGTTAACATTGAATTAAGAAAGGCTCATAAGGAATTAACCATATGAGGAAAGCCAAAACATTCATTAAAGCCCCAGTATCGTGACAAATAGACATAGGAAGAAATATGCAAAGCAACTGGAATTGCATCACTTAGAGCAGTGAGCACCTTCCTATGCCTATGTGACTAGATACAGGTGTTAGCCCTGTTTAGTCTGAAATGGATTGGGTTAGGTATTTGAACCTGATGAGACACAGTGATAAGTGAGATTCTTATTAGCAAAAAATACAACTTTTATTCAACCAGCAGCAAGACAACTCAAAACACATAATTCTCTTATTCTTCACCTGACTTTTATCTTAAACTAACATTGAACTTGAAGAGAAGCCAGACCATTTTCTTGGGAGAATTTCCCTTTTTATTGTATATAAAAGTCAGAGGACAATTAAAGTATCTGACAGATGGGATCGTTACTTATAAAGTTACTTTTAGATACTTTTAAATACCATTGCATATATCTGATAGTTAAAAAGCCACTGTTATAAAAAATCTTTCTGAATGAGAACTATTCCTTAATTCATTTATTGTAATATTTTAACAAATACTTAATTCAGTCTTTACTATGGTTACCAAGAAATTAAGATTTTACAACTAAAAAGTGCCATTTTGTTCTTTAAGCCAACAATTCAAAGCTTTGCTCCAAAAGAGAAGCAGGTCTCTCTGCTAATAAAAAAAATATATATATCTATGCTAACCTTTTTACTTTGCTGATGAATAATTTTACAAAGTGTAGTGGTAATACTGGAGAGAATACTTTTTATTATTTCCCAAATTAAATTAAAGGTAATTACAAAGAAGAAAAAAATATTCACAGGGCAAGATTTTACTGCCAGGGAGATTTTTGTAACAAATGTTCCCAACGCTCAGTGATTTTGTTCTGAAACTAGGATAGCCAATATGTCACCAAATCTGCTCTACAGTGAAGATATAGTTCCTTCTGCCAGGAAGAATTTAACTGACACCTGCCTACATCATGCTCTTTAGCAATCTAAAACAGTTTAAGGTTATAACTTGTCATTGCGACTGTGTTTATAAGAACGGCTCCTTTTCAAGGCTATTATAGAGATGGAATATGTCCTAGTCTAAAAGAGTTTTACAAACATAGATTTAAATTTAATATATTGTTGAGAAATGTTTCCGTAAGTATTTACAAGGGTTTCAAGTCTTGATGTCTGCCTCTTAAAAAACAAGTCAAAAACAAAAACAATCCCCCCTTTTAAAAAAAAAAAAAACACCACACAAAATTTAAATATGTGTGACTTACTATAGAGAAATGTAGCAGAGAGAACCACAATGTCAGGCACGGATTCCACCCTTTCCCTGGCCCTAAAGTGACCATCCATTTCTTCATGCATGAAATAAAGTGGGCTACGTTATTATAATGTTTCCAAGGTGCTGGATTTATACCAAGAGGTACTCTAGATGACTAAGACATTAGACAATACTAAAACAGATGGAGAGAAAGTAATTCCTTTTAATTCTCTTCTAATTCCTGATTATTATAAGAAAAAGGTCTTAAGCCAGCCCTATACTGTTTTTATCTTCTAATACATGCTATCTTCTTTTAAAAAAAGGAAACAGAGAGCAGGCTCTCAGCTCAGAGACTTTCTACAGATAACAGCCTGTGGGTAGAATTCATTACCAGTGTTTCAATTGTCAATTGATATTGCTTTTACCTCTCTTTGCTGAGAAGGATTTATTTCTTATCCATTTATGACAGGGATTTATATCAAGCTGTCTTTTCATATTTAAGTAATAGTATAGTTGGCACGTGAATGCCTGAAGTTTGGGGTCACCAGACCAGAAACCTCCAGCAACTTATAAATGCAGAAAAAGTCCTGGACTCAGCAAGTCTGAAGGAGGGTCCAGAGCTGGTTCCTTGGCTGAGGTGAGTACACCATGTTCCAATCAATGGAGCCTAATTTTCTTCTCCTGGGTTCCTAGATTATGTTTCTGACAGTAGAATTTTGCCCATTTTATTTTCTACTCATCTGGAAAGCTGACCTAGAGTAGCCCTATTTGATTGGAATTTCTTTCGCTGCTCCCTGAACTTGAAGCGTCTCGCTTTGTTGCTGCTTAGACTGCCTGTGGTGTAGAACTGGTAGAAAAAGCCTACTGAAGCTGCAGCTGCCAGAATAAAAGGTAACACGCAGATGTGTATTTTACATTTTTCTTCCCCCAACAGAATAAGAAACATATGTTGATTTCTTCCTTGTGAACTTCACTTATCACAGGAAAATATCATGATTTTGGATCACATTTCCATAGCAGCAATCAGACTACTAAAATTCACAAATAAAGGATCCGCTTGGGTGCATGCAGCCGGTAGAGAATTCTGCAAATGTTGACGGAGCGGCTCACACAACTTACTTCCGAGCTCTATTTTCATTTTGTTGAAATAAAAAGACAAAACAAAAGAAAAGAAACTGTGAAATACTCTGGAACAAAATAACACAGTGTGGTGTTCAGTGGTGCACAAGGGGCTCGATTCATTGGCTGGAAGATCCTGTTAAGATTCTGTAGGATTTTGGCATATTGATCAAAGAGAAACACTATTCAATATATTATCATCCCTCTTCATTGCTGCTATTCATCCACCACCCAAAAGCCCATAGTTTCCTCCAGAACTAGAGTTCAGAAGGAAGAACTTGTATCATGACATCTTGGCCTCTTTGAGATAGAATGTTTAAGGAAACATTTTTGCCTAATATGAATGCAAAAATGTTTAAGGGTTAAAAGGATAATATTCTAAACAATAGGATTATAATAATGTGGTGTGTGTGTGTTTTTTTGTTTTTTTTTTTGAAGGGTATATCTTTTCTGAGTTGGGGCTGTTTAGAAGCCTGGCTTTCTGAAAGGTAGGTAATGCAACACTCGGTATGTTATAAAAATTGTTTGTTGAATTTCCTGGCTCTGAGACAAGTTATACTGATTGATGGGTCGATAGAGGTGAGATAGAAGAATGATAAACTTTAAAGTTAAAGCTGCTACCAGAAAAAGGGTGAAATGTTATATACACAGATTTTTTCGTGGCACTGAGTGACCATCCACAAAGACAGATATGTTACTGAGAAGAGGACACAGCCTACGGAGTTTGGCTTCCATCCGAGACTAGAGAGGGCACGTGTCGGGGAGAAAGGCTGTGAAGCTTGGAAAACAGAAAGATTTGAAATAGAGGGGGGCTGGCAGAAGGGGAGAGAGAGAGAGCTATTGACAAAGCTCTCAGGACAAATCAGAGAATAGGAGAGGCCAGGAGAGCTCTACCAAATGAGTTTGTCAATTTTTCCTCAACTAGCGAAGTCTGACTTCACCCAGTGCTGACACACAAGGCTGACAGTCTCACTGGGTGTGAACAGTGGGCAATAAAGGCCTTGCCCTTAGGAATCGAGCCCTATGTGCTTTCTTTGGGATTTCACTAACTTAAAAGGAAAGATCGTTAATGCGTGATTAGAATAAACTAGCCAAACCCAGCCCACATAAATTCTCAGGGGTACTTTTTCACAAAGTACAAGGTCCCTCCCACCTCAAAGGAAACCCAATCACCCAAAGACTAATTTATCAAACAATTCAGAACATTTTTGAGTTGCTTGAAACTCATCTGCTTTAGGAGTATACACTGCTACAGAAGAAATAGAATAAGAAATGTCTGCAAGAAGCAGAGGAATAACACATGTTTTTCTCCTCTATCAGTCTATCCAAAAGAAGCATGCTGAAGGAGCCACGAAACCCTTATGTCAGGTCAATGCACCAACAGCTCAGGGACAGTTTTGAAACTTGGTTCACTGAAAGATAATTTTCCTGACATTTGATTATGAAAAATTTCAAACCGATGGCAAAGTTGAAAAGATTGTATAGTGAACACCCTTAAGTTGTCCCCCAATTTTTTTAGTGTGAATATAATCAGACTTAAGAGCTCTGTGACAACATAAATACCCACCATTTACACATGGCTACAGAATTATGTTACAAAAGAACTGTCAAAGCATTTAAAAAAGAATATGAAAATTTATCCAAGGCATCAAAGGCAAATCACATTTAATTATACATTTAGTAGGTCACAATGACAGAAAGGGACACAAATACAATCCTGGAGGAAAGGGGATGTGTGGCTGCTGGACGTGTACAGTGACTGAACTCGCTTACTCCCACGTCATCTCACCCCCTCATACAGGTGAGTTTTCTTTTTAATATATTTAATATATTTTAGTATGTGTTAGTCTTGGAAAATTAAAAGTGCAGAGAATGATTTCTCCCCTTGTGTGAATGTTGGGGTTACTGTGCTACATGGTTGGGGTGTGGGAGAGTTGTGCCAGGGGACCCTTGGGGAAGAAGCTTGTCCTCAGAAAGGATGAAAGGCCTGAGGAGAGCAGAGGTGACAGCTTAGCATCTGTTAAGGGACTCACTCTCTTAGCTCCAAGCTTCAGGGAATGGAGATGTCTAGGCCAGTGCTCCTAGGTGGTGGGACCCAGTCACAGACAGCTATGAGCTCCAGGGAGCAACTCTCTCTCTCGGGAGCCACACCAAATACAGTGTTCCTCTCTTGCTCTTCCCTTTTACTCATTCCCAGATGTTAGAGGAGTATTATCTTAAAATCCTATCTTTCCTGGGTAAATAGCATAGTCTGTATCTAGACGAGTCACAGAGCTTAAAGGAGGAATGATGTCCCTTTGGTGTTGGTGGCAGCAAGGAAAAGAGCGTGAGAGACTAGCACCGAGGGCCAGATACTCCACTGCGTGTGCAGGCTCCCTCTAATTCAGGTCTCAGAGTATGTGAGTTCTCTTTTCATTAAGAAAGCTGCAATTTCTCTATAGTCCATATATGACCATAATTATAGACATATTCCACATTTGCAGTGATACTTAGTTAAAAGGGAAAGTTGGTTGGACAGGTAATATGAATGCTTAGTGATTTCTCACAGAATGTTAGTGAAATATAAGACAAACAAATTATCTAAATATGGAAAATGAAAACTCCAGCCTCAGAGTTTTCTCCTCTGCTGTGCTAGTTAGCTCTCGAAGACATTTCACTGACTAGTCAAGAGACCTAGTACTTCCCCACCTGTCTATGATTACCCTGGGAGGTTGCACGAGGACAGCCACTTTGCTGACCCACAAATGTGACCATGTCTGCTCTTCCTCATTTGGAAATGGCATTAAGAGCGAGTCTGTAGAGCATCGTAATGGACACCCAGGTGAATGTACTTACGGTAAGGATGCCGCCAGCCTAGGGGAGAAAGACCTGGTGCTTTCAGATTATCACTGAAGCTCCCTAGATATAAATCTGTACTTTACCGTCTGCGATAGTGATATAATGTATCAATGAAATGGCATGAAAGACTTGAACTCTGGTGGCCTGAATAAAGTCAGGACAATGATAAAAGAGCACAGGGCCCGTAGGAACTATAAAATCTACAATGAACACGTAGCACAGAGGAAAAACCCCAAGTCCTGATTAAAAACTCATTTAAAAATTCAAGTAGTGAATCAACTATAGTACTACCTTCATATAAAGATGCTAGGCAGAGTATTAAAAAAATCCAGACAAAATGTTACTTTTTTTCAAGATGTTGCAGTAGATACAAACTAAACATGTTAGAGCAAACTATATGAATGTTAAATTAAGAAACACAATTTTAACTGAAATTATTGCTTCTAAAGAAACTGAGAAGACATTCAATTACTATATATATTAAATGACTATCCTCCCAATAATAAATGATTCGTAATCATACAAGAACCGACAACTTTGCTCAGGATTTCATTTATGAAATTACTAAAGTGCCAAATACCGTCCTCTGGGAACAAGCCTGACGGCGTTTTCTTTTTTCCCTCCCTCACGAGAGAAGAATAACCAAGTGCTAGAATTAAAACCTAGAGATACAAAAGCAGGAGGAAAAGGAAGAACGGTACTTACTGATGAATAGCTTGCAAGAATTTTCGTTGATGTTTTCTTACTTTTGCATGATCTATCTTTTTTACTAGCTTTGTATTTTTGTAAATTAGCCACGTTTCCCTGAGTACATTGGCAGCTGCGTTTTTCACCTGTTAGGAAAATAAACCAAAAAAGCAGTTGATAAATTCCAAAGCGGAATCCTTTGCAACTTGGCTGGGGGGTCATAGTCTTCACCCCAATGATCATGATAAGCTCTAGCTCTGTTTAGTAACTATGTCTCAAAAATTCTTTTTTACATAAATCTAAAAGTTTGAAAAACAGAATATGCATGGATCTAAAAAGTATCAGTATCTGTGTGGGAACACTATTTAAACTGAAATATTAGGGAGCTACTGATCTCTTCCTGGGCCAAACTCTACCCTATCAGGGACTTTCTTTTCATTCAACCACTTAAAAAAAAAATCAAGAGGTGTTTATTTCTCCACCTTGTATTGCAATTGTTCTCTTGGTGTTCTTCATTTCCCTAGCGAAAGGCAACAGGCCAGAAGGCCAAGGTTAATCTTGCCTTTGCGAGCCTGCTCGGCATGTCTGGCTGCGCACGATAGGAAGGAGGGCACATTTCCACTGCTGCTTGTATAGGAACCCAGTCTCCTAGTTCCCAGAGTGTCTTAGCAAACAGTTGGTAAGCCCACTTAATTAATTGACAGACGTCTATGTTGTCATGATTTTGTTGGTAATTGAAATATATACATTTCAAATGAATGGGACAAACCTAAGGATGAAAGCATTACAGTAACACTGCCCAGACCTGATGGAAGGTGTGAATACTTCCTAGAGATGTTCAACACAAAGACCCAGAGTTTTCATGTGGGCTTCTTGTTGTTAATCACCTGCTATCAGAACAACCATTTGAGAGAGGCATAAAGATGTTCACATGGAGAGCTGCCAGCTAGTGGGGGACTGGGTGGAGGCAGACAACGCTTTAAGGACGGCTTGTGGTGGGGAAGACAGAGCAGTGAGCTGGACTGGAGTACATGCTGGTCTTTCTACTAACCAAGTCCAGTCAAGGGGGCTAGCCAACCTTGTCCGGCTTTTGTTTCCTCATCATTATGTGAGGTTCAAGAGAAATATTAGTAAAGTCCTCTTAGTCCTTAAATTTACAATAAGAAAGAACCTTAGCGTTACACTAAGATTATGGGCCCACGTCCGTATGTATATTTTTTCACGTTAGCCTTTTTCATGGTGCTGAAAAGTTTTATTTTTGAGTGAAATTGTATCCCTAGAACCTATTGTAAGAAAATGACTGGTTTCCTAAAATTGCTTTTAGGAGTGGCTTTTGGTCACATCCCCTGGACATTCATCAGCCTCTGCATGGACAGCATTCTGAAACCAACAGAGCAGCGACTGACACTTAAGGACTGAGCGCCAGCCGGCGGATGAGGAAAGTCGCCACCGTCCACAGGGACGTTCAAAGGTGTTCCAGGTAATTCCCGGCTCTTTATTCTTATGGAAACACATTTCTCTTCCTCACAGAGGTAGGAGTCACCTTTCAGAAGGCTCTTCCATCTGACCCTTGTACAACCTTTTCAGAGGTAAGGAGCTGGATGCAGTATACGTTGTTGACTTCAATTTCAGAATTCAATGGGGTGAGTGATGCCTGAGGCCTTATGTTGCAGTATTTGTATTCACTCATCTTAGCTGACAGTTTGAAACCGAAAATGACTTCTCATTTGAAAGTAAAATCCCTACAGTTGCTTTTAAAAACCTGTTAAAAATACATATGTATGCTTTCATGTTGAAACATCCCCTTTTATAATTCTTTAATAGGTTTTCAAACATAGGAATTAACCTCTCAAAGCATCAAATTTAACTGATACTTTTCAAAAATAGCAGCCACAAAACAGTATGTCCACAAAGAGAAAAAGGTATCCTTTGCCTAATGGTCAGGTGTGTTTCTAGTAGGTTTTTCCAGTCTCTCATAGTGTTGAAAGGGAACAGCAGACAAGGAGACTACAGGGTGGAAAGCACTTCAGTGTTTTACAGGTTTGAACTGTAGGGGATTATTACATGAAAGTGATCCGCAAACTTGCAGGAGAAGCAGGCTCTATGCATTTCTGATCATTAGCATGAAAGAGAAATGCATCTGTGGGGGGGGGGGGTGTCCCTTGTTTGCACAATTAAGAGCCCTAAGGTCAGTCATCTAATAATGTAACCCTGGAGCCCCTACTCCAGTGGTTCCCAACATGGGGCACATGCCCCAGTCGGGGGGGGGGGGGGGTTAAGGGGGGCAATTCCAGAACAGTGAATTTTTTGAATTTCTTAGGATTCTAGGGGCCTCATATTCAGTATATA